GTTGTTGGCGTCTGTCCGAGTGGCTGCTTCTCTTCCCCATCAGAGCCCATCTATGCTCAGCCCATTTGCTTGGGTCCCAGCAGACCCCGAGGCCATGGGAGCCTGGGAAGGAGCTCACCCGGGGGAGTGACTGACAGGTTGTCAGGCGCCCGGCTTTTGGATGGGAACTCGGGCAGATCAGACAGCAGCTGAGATCCCAGGGGGAACTGGCCCTGCTGATGGATGCTCTGAGTCTCTCCCGTCTGCTCCTGCTCTGTCTCCCTTGCCCACCCCCCAACTCCCATCCCGCCTTCTTGTGCTCTCCTTGGTCACTGGCCAGTGGTGCTGGGGGTGGCAGAGCCAGAAGATCCATGGAGCAGGGGATGCAGGGAGGCTGGAGCCATCACTTCATGAATCAGCTCAGCTCTGGTGCTCCTGTCAGTGGGAGACAAAACAGCGGCATCTGGAGTATGTGCCCCAGGGGCCCAGTATACGCAGGGGAGAAGGAGGCCTCTGAGACCAGACGGACCTGGCCTCAAACCCTGATGCCACCACTCACCAGCTCTGTGACCTCGGGAAGCCACTTGACTTCTCCAAGCCTCAGGGTCCTCCTCCATAAAATAGGGATAGTAGAACCTGCCCTGCCTAACTCACAGGTTGTTGAGAGGATCAAATGAGAGAGAGGGTTTCCAAATTGCTACCAATGGACATTCCCATTATTGCTAAGCACACAGTGAGCTAGTGGCAGAACCCAGCTCGCACCCACTTCTCCGCCTCCCTGACTTTTGTTCCTACTCTGTACTAGCATCGGTTTCAGCTTGGTTTGGAGGCAGAAGAACAGACTTGATGACCTTGAGAGTTGAGCCCCTCTGGGTCTGCCTGATTCAGTTCCAGGGGTTGAGCGCACATGAGAATTGGGCCATCGTTGTGTTTGTTTAACTGATTAAATGACTGATCAGTGAACGTGGCTCATGAAATTGTACCTTCCAGTGAATTCCTAAACTGATGGCTAGAGACTCGCAAAGGCTGTGTGATGGGGAGGAGGCCTGTAGGAGCTCCAGCCCCTGAGAGACTTGCAAACTCTTTGGGGAGGCGGGACACCCACGTAAGAGCTATTAGCTAAAAATACAGGGCAGAGCATCCAAGATACCACGTCTGGTCGGTTAATAGTAGCATCCCCAGTGCCTAACGTACATAAGCAGCATTCAGTAAATCCCTGTTAAATGAAGGAATAAAGAACGACCGGCACAGTCTTTGCATGTTACCCAAAGCCACGTGGCACTTCCATGCTCCTGGGAGATTTGGTGAAAACTTGCTCCGAACCTCAGGCTGCTCGGCTGTTCCACAGTTGTTTGTCACGCTTCTGTGTCCCTGCTCATGAGAGGGCAACCTCTTCCATGTCGTGTCAAACCACTGGATTCACACGCTGTTTTGCGCTTCCCCTTTTTCTACAAAAATGTAATCGCCCTGGGAATTGTGCCATCACTTTACTGAAGATTTGAGGGTGTCACAGAGGAGGGACCACTGGTTTTGCCAACTTTTACAAGTTGCCGCATTGAACTCCCTGACCTTGGACCCCTCCTCAGCCTTTGGAGAAATGTAATTCAGGGGGGTATCTCCATCCCCTTCCTCCCCCAACCCACGGCTTTTCCTGCAGGTAGGAGGGCTGCCAGTCTGCTTTCCCCAGTGCCAGAAATTCCAAAGAATACAATATTCTCTTTTTTTTCCTTCCACATGAATCTCCCAGGCCCTGTGAGTCCCCAGAGGACCATGAGGCAGGTTTGGACTCAGGGCAGAGAAGCCCCTTCTAAAGCTGAGAGCTACCTAGACTGCCGAGCTCCCTGCCATGGGAGGTGAACCAGCACAGTGAAGCTGCAGAAGCTCCTCTGGGGTGCAGATGTAAATCCTCAGGTATTTATTCAACTTGGGGGTTGGATATTACAGCAGGACACTTGTTGATTCATCTAATCGGAGGGGCAACTCTAGCACTAATAAGCATTGGCACTGCTCCAGCTTTTATTACATTCATCATAGGTATATGAAGGATATGAAGCTGGGAAGCAGGTGACCCAGGTTTATGGCCCCAGCTCTTTTACTGACTCTCAGTGTGGGCCTGCTCAAATCTCCCTCCATCAGTGGGCCTCAGTTTCCCCATTTGCACGATGCAAATTCTCTAATGGGGACTGGGTGCTTCCCTGGGGCCCTGCAGCTCTGAGACACTGTGATTTCCTGGTATCTCAAGAATAGAAGGTGATGTGTTTTTTCTGCAACAGGAACAAGTGTCAAGTTTGTGGGAAACTGAGAGTGACTGCATCTTCTTATCGCTCTGGCTCTGGGCCCAGCTGGGGCTCTGTCTGGCTGCCACAGAGGAGGAAGGGGCACCTTAGACCCTCCTCTGGTCTGTGGAGAAAGTGAAGCTGGACCTTGGTGTTCTGCATGCAGTGGGCCCGGCCAGGCTTCTGGCCTCCTCAGCCTGTGTGCAGAGACAGAGCACGGTGGCCTCTGCCCCGGGAAGGGGGATGGGGAGCATCTCTCTGCATCTCTGTGCTGCTGGGGTCAGCTCTGCTCTTGGCGTGGGGCTGGGATCATGGAGGCCACTCCTGTCTGTCTTCCTCTTGCAATGCAGGCTCCATGGGAGGATGTGGGAAAGCATGGTTCTTTCTGGCTCTCATTGAGACTGGTCCAAATATTCCAAAACTTTTCCTATCTAAGTTCTCAAAGATCTTCTTAATTATTAGTAACATTCGAAAGAAAATCAACTCCCACATGCCAGGTTCTGTTCTGGGCACTGAGGTATAGCAGCAAATAAGAAAGAAATGGCCTTCGGATCCGGCCCCATAGTGCACCCACCACCCGCCTCTGCCAGTGTCTGGGACCCCAGCCAATTTGCCATCAAGCCAGAGCACAGGCAGCTTGGTCAGGTGAGGCGAGGTCATCAATTGCTTCAAGCAGAAGGGATTCTGCCTTGTGGCCAGAAGTTCCTTCAGGCCTCCGAGGAACATCTAAAGCAGTGCAACATTGACCTGAAGGAGCACCCTCTCTTCCCGGAGCTGGAGAAATGCATGAACTCAGGGCCGGCTGTGGCCATGGTCTGGAGGGGCTGAATGTGGTAAAGATAGGGCGAGTGATGCTTGGGGAGACCGACCCAGTGGAATCTAAGTCAAGCACAGTACGAAGGGACTGCTGCGTTCAAGTTGGAAGGAACATCATTCATAGCAGTGATTCAGTAAAAAAGTGCTGAAAAAGAAATCAGCCTGCGGTTTTAAGCCCGAAGAATTGGTGACTACAAGTCTTGTGCTATTGGCTGGATCTGTGAATAACAGGGGAGCAAAGCAGCAGTCTCCTTCAGCACCGCTTGATGTGTCCCTGGGCACGGCTCTGCATTCCATGGACTTGGAAACAGTAGGATTAATCTTTCCTTCCTAAAATACTTGCCAGTAAAGACTTTGGAAACTGGGGAAAAGAAAAGAAAGATTGATAGAAGGAAAGAAAGGAAGAGAAATGGAGGGAAGGAAGAGAAAAGGAAGGAAGGAAGGAAGGGAAAGAGACAAGTGTTGCAGTGGCTGTTTCTTACATGTGAATGACTGGTGAAGGGCAAGGAGTAGGAGTTGGGAAGGGGAGTACAGGGCATGCGAAGGAACTGAGGCTGGCAAGAGAGGGGCAGGATCAGGCAGGGTCAGAGCCATGAGAGTGGAGGAGGCTGAACATTATCCTGGAGGCCGTGGGAGCCAGGGAGGCCTTTTAGCTGGAGTGACATGGTTGCATACGTAATTAGAGAAGGTGTCAGTGACGCTGTGTGGAAGATGGACAGGAGGGAGAGGAACCTGGAGATGAGTTGGGAGACTGGTTCTGTGAACCAGATGTGGAATGATGATGGATGGGCTGCAGTAATAGAAATAGGACTGGAGATAATTTGTGAGACTAAAGAGGTGGAATCAACAGAACTTTGGTTCCCATGAACTCCCATGAATTCTGAATCATTTCGTTTTCCAAATCCACTGTATCCTTTAAGCGATTCAAGTATCACATCCACTAACACAGTAATAATAAAGGAACTAATATGGAATTGTATGGGCTTTATTTGTGCAGCTTTGGAAATGGGTCTTATCTACTCACCACCCATCGTGACATAATAGGAAATCAGAACTCTGGATCATCAGGAACTGAATAACTTCATCTCACTTAGTAATGTAATCATAGCCTAAAGCAGAGAAACCTGATGTTTTAGTTGCCTGAGTTGCAGCTGGTCACCAAGATCTGGTCTCTCTTGTCTCTGGCATCACCCTGCACATAGCTGTCCACATTACAGTCAGAAAGATCTTTCTAAAATGAAAGTCGGATCTTGCCTTCAAATCCTGTGGGAGTGCCAGAGTTCCTCTCTCCCCTCTCAGCACCCTCTCCCTCAGTGGGCCTCATCCACCTCCAAGAATACCACCTATATGCTATTTATTCTCAAATACATCTCATGGTCAGAATGCTATCCTGATCTTCAGACTCCAAATCCTACATGACATCAGCCTCCCATCTACCAACCCCCGCCTCTTCTAATGCTTCCCAGTGCTGTAAATGCTTCCACCAGCCATGTGGGAATCATCCCTGGTCGCCGTCTTCCCTTTCTCTTACCTTCACGCTCAAGTCATTCTGATTTACCTGCTTCGTTCCAACTCTGCTGCCGAGGCCCCCGGCCCCAGAATCTAGACCCCTGTGTTCTCTTGCTGGGATCCCTTCAGGAACCTTCTATCTGGAATCCCTGTTTCTGTCTTGCTTTTCTCTAAGCCATTCTTCATACAGCAGCCAAAGGGACCTTTTAAAACATAAAATGGAATATGTCATCCTCCACCACTCTGCTTAAAATCAAGTAGCACTTCCCACTTCTCTTAAAATGCCATCCCAAGATGAGAGGGCGCAGCATAATCTGGCCCCTGCCTACCTGTGTTGGATTTGTAGCAAGTCAAGTTAGCTATGCTGGAACTACATTTCCCAGAATCCCCTTCACTGCATATCCCAGGTGTGCAAGGGGGCACAGAGAGGGTTTGTGGGAGATTTGGAAGGAGGAAGCTGAACAGCAGTCATATTCTTTTACACTCGAAGTGCAGGATTCCGGGCAGTGACTGGTGCAGCCGCTAATATGGCACGGGTCAGGGCTAGCCTGCAGTTCCTCCATCTCCTGCCACACCGTCCTTTGGCTTCTTCTTCTCGGGCCCAGGGGGGTGCTCAGGTCCACGATGAAGGGCCCCGCTTCTCCTGCAGGCCACCGGCATAACCCAAGGAGGAGTTTTGGAGGCCCTGAGACCTTCAGGATTCCATCTTCACTTCTTTCCTCTTCGACTCTCTGCCCTGGTGACTTCAGGCCCCGGCATCAGACACAAAGACAACAGGCTCAGATAGACAGTTACGCCACCTGTTACAGCTACAGAAGGTCAGCTCCCGGTAATGAATCCCTTGTTCTTACTCCTAGCAGTTCTGTTTCTGGGACTGGACCGTGCCGTGACCAATGCCCTGCCTCTCCAGGATCATCCTGGGCAACGCCCCCTCACGCTCACTGCGGCCAGCCTGCCTGGCCTTCAATTTGTTTTTTGTTTTCTTGAACATGTGACGCGCCTCCCACTTCTGAGCCTTTATGTGTGCTCTCTTCTTCCTTTGTGTGTATAATGCTCTGCTCCACACTGTCTGCCTGGCCGACTCCTGTGCTTCCTGCGGATCTCAGGCCTGTTACGTTTTCTCATGGCACTAAGTACTTCTTTGTTTAATAGCCCTTAATGGTTTGTGGGTTTTTTTGTGTGTGCATGCATACATGGTGTGACCATTTCTATTATGTCTGTCTCCCCAGCAGACCATGACCTTCATGTAGGCAGGGCCACATCTGATAGCTTCACCTCCTGTAGCCTGGCCTAGCCCTAGTGGAGTGGGCGCTCCATAGTAGTTCTTTCGTGATGATTTATCTTACAATTGAATGAAACAAAGAATGAGCAGACAAAGGGAAAAAAGAAAGAAAGGGAGAAGGAAAAAAAGGATGAAAGAGAGAGAGGGAGGAAAGAAGGAAGGAAGAGAGAAAGAGAAAGAGGAAGGAAGGGAGGGAGGGAGGGAAAGAAAGAGAAGGGAATAAAAAGAGGTCTTATTTGTTGTGCAATTTTCAGCTAAGTTACCACTTCCCCAGGAGGTTGGGTTAGAGGCCCCTCTGGGTTCCCTGCTATCACATCCCTTCCCACACTGGATCCTGAGTGTCTCCTACTTTCTCCTCTCCCCCACCAGACTGTAAGGTCTCTGAGGTGGGGGCTGGGCGGGAGGAGCACAGTGAACCTGTGGCAAAGGTGCTGGATTCATGGGAAGCCCGAGGTTCTCAGCCTGGCGCTCCTTCCAGGTCTTTTACCATAAACTCCGTGCTCACCCCCGGGCTCAGCTCTTCTTCTCCCCAAAGTCTTCACTGTTACCTGAACAGTCATGCTCCCCTGGGCCTCCAAGCCTTTGCATACACAGTTCCTTACCTGGGCTGGCCTCCCCTCCTCTATCCGACAACGTCCAGATGCTCTTCCCGCCAGCCTTCCAGAGCAGGCTCCACCCGGCCAGCCAGAAGACCGGCTGCCTGGGGCAGTGAAGGCTCACTCAGGCTGCGGGGCTGACTGATTTTTTCCAAGGGTTTTCTTCCTCCCAAATGCTTCCCCAGTGATTGAAAGTTTTGCCTGAAATAACGAAGGTCACTGAACCAAAAAACCCACCAAAACTGAAGGGAGGGCTCAAGTCAATCCTGGATATTGTCTCCTGGGTTCTGGGGACCATAACTCCCTTCGCTGCCAACACTCGCAGCCCTGCCCCTGCTGGGGTGTCCTACAACACACCCTGCCCTCCACCCGCTCCCAATACAGTGCCTTTCCCCCTGCGCAGGCTCTGCCCCTGCTGGGGTGTCCTGCAACACGCCCTGCCCTCCACCCGCTCCCAGCTCAGTGCCTTTCCCCCTGCGCAGG